TCAAAAAGGACCATAATATTCTTGAAGTGGAACTTCCACTCCAAGATATATTCAAAGACATAATACAATAAAACTTTCCTAAAATGAAGAAAGAGAATAATCTACAAAACAAAAACGGTTCATGGCACTCTAAGAAAATAAGATGAAGGACGAGCAACAACAAGACTTATCCTAATTAAACTACTGAATGTCAAGAATAAAAAAAGAATTTCTCAGATATTCAAGAAAAAAGGCAAATTTCATACAAGCACAGGGAAAAACTGTCCCACCTCAGAATTCTCCATAACACTCAATTCCACAAACAATGGAGCATGTCCATAAAGTCCTGAGAAAAATAAACTTTAATTTTAAAATATAATTAATCTAGATGTTACTTGATCTTAGAAGTTCCTAATAGACATTCACAAGCATGAAAGAATTCAGGTTAAATATGTGTAACTTCTTCTCAAGAAAAATAAATTTGCTTGACAATGACATCCAGCATAAGTCAATATTACTAAAAATAAACTCAAGAATGGCAAAGGTAGGTTAAAAGAACTGGTAGTGAACAATAAATCTGTTTAAATAAATAGTAAACAACTAATGAAAGTATGGCAGCAAAACAAAATGTGAGTATTATAAATCTGAATAATGCTAAAATAATCACATAACCACAAGGAGGTGGGGGGGGAGGGGCGGTGGGAGAAAGTTTGAGTGCCATTGTCTTCATTTTTCTAAATAGGGAAGAAATATCTATTTTTAATGTTATATGCTAACTCTTAACATGTATTCCTAAATCTTGGTATTTAAATATATATATATAGTAATGGATTCTTTTATGGGGGGGAGGGGAAACCTGTGGTGAAGAAACATATCTTTTATTTTGTTTTGATGTTCTCCTAAAGTCAAACAAAATATTAACAACCACCTTTTATTTAAAATATTTTTGAGGGTCGCATCCCATTTTCATAATTTTTCTTTGTCTACTGCTTTATTCTTCTCACCATATAATCTGCATAGAAAGATACTCACAATAATATTCTTTTAATGGTAAAAGTGGCAATTTCTGAGTTGGAGTAATTTTTTTAAAAATACAGTTTTGTACTTTTCATCATTGCTTTGTTTTTTTATAAAGGGTATATCTTATTTTATAAAAACAATTAGATGACTCCCTTTAAACATTATAGGCAGTACATCAAGATATTAACAGTGGTTCATTCTGGGTTGTAAGAAAATGGATGATAGTAATTTTTTCTTTGTACTTTTCTTGTTTTTAAATTTACAAACATAAAAAATGATTTATTAACTACTTACTTTTCACCATTCTACTTCTTATACATATATATTTTATTATTATGCTCTGGGAAGTAAATAAAGGCTATAAATATCCCAAGTAAAAAAAATTCAAATAAAAACTATAAACATCCCAAAGAAAACTAATAAAGAACATAAACATCCCAACCACTGCAATGTTCAAGGAGAAAATGTGTCAGTAAGTGCACTGTACTACTAGGAACACTGAGTTAGCAATTAATGAATGACATGGAAAAAGTGAGAAATGTATTCTTTAATCAATTTTATCTCATTATCTTTTATTATGTATTACTCAATCCTATGAAGTAGTCTTTGTTTTATATACTGTGGCATATTTAAAACATATGGTATTTGAACAGAGTTATATACCTGGTTACATTGAGCTAACAGAGACGAAATTGTGAAATAGCTATTTTTATTGTTACCTCATAAACTACATAGCAACTGAGAAACAAAAATAATCTAAAATGCCCCTCTTTAGGTGTGGAATTTTACAGGGTGGAGAGAGATATGAATATACATTTGCTTATATTAAAATAGGAATAACAACAATAACAATAGTAATAGAAGGATAAATTGAAAACCTAAAAAGAAGTGATTATTAGAGGGAAGTAAAGCTACACTTCTATGAATGCATTACAGTACATTTTGAATACTGGAGTTTGGAACCATATATTTTACATAATTCTATATTTAAATTAGATTGAAAAATCAATCCCTAAAACTCAAGAGCAAAACAAGCAAATAAAATTGCAAATAAAATTATGTGTCTAAGAGTTGGTAGCATAACCATGCAGAAAAGAACTTTTAAAGTGACTTTAAAATATAGTAAATTGACTAAAGATACCTAATGTGATATATCTCAAAGACAAAAAAAAAATTGCAAATGAAATCTCTTAATCTGTTTCTAATAATAATATTGTTGATCATGTTGGCATTATGTATTTGGATAAAGCAAGTGAATAATCATGTTAATGTCACTGGGAACTCAAGTATTTTGGCATGTTAGATAAGATGCAAAACAGAAGAGGTTAGACCCTCTAGTGTCTGGATTTGAATAGAAGGTGTCAGTATACATTTATAATATAATTATCCATAACACACACACATTTTCAGCTCTATTCATTGGTCTTGAAACAACAAAGAACTCAGTAGCAGTGTGCACCCACAATGCCTAGATTATAATCTCTAAATATCATTTCAAATTCAAAGGATATAAGAGCTCCTTAAATGCAAACTGCAGGTCTGAGACAGAAAATACACAGGTTAAACCTGGAATATCTTGTTTAAAAACAAAGCCGTTAAAGCCTATTTAAGGCATATCAAAGTCTCAGGAGCCAATATGATATGTCACTTGCCAGCCAAGAAATGGGATAGTTGGTGCATCAGTTAGAAGACCTGCTTCTATCTTCCTTTGAAGGATTGAAATACTTCAAAAGTGTTTAAATTTATGACATTATAATAATCCTAAAATTGGGGGCGGGGGGAAGATCATATCTGAATATGTTAACTTACCAACTTATTTTTAAAATTGGTAAAGGGAAGTAACCAAGCATTTATCCTATCTTTCTTATATTCATCATATCTTGAAGTAATTAAATGGTTGTTCAGAAAAAGGTTTCTCTTTATATGGAAGAAATGGTCCAGCTAACAAATAAAATCAGAATAACACTATTTTGAAAGTACTAATGAATTAATTAATGGATCTAGAAAATGATCATCAATGACTGTTAACATCTCAAAGGGAGAAACAACCAGATATTATGTGCTTCCTAACAACATATGTAAAGCAGCCTTGTCAGAAAAACCAAACTTACATGGGATGAACCTTCCCATGTTCCAAAAACAACTACCAATTAACAGGAAATAGGACAGAGGAACAAGTTAAAAGAAACCATTAGAAGGCAATCAGCAAATTCCAGAATGTAGTATACTTTACTGATTAGTTGTATTCAGAAACTGTAAGGGCGGGTAGGGAGGGAAGGTGGGATGGAGAACTACAGATTAGGGGAGATTTTAGAGATATATGAACCAAGTGCAGGGTATGAACTTCATTACAATCTGATTTCAACTAGTATGGGGTAGGGGTTTATGAAATAATAAGGAAAATTTGAACATTGACTGAATATTTAACGTTGTAAGCAATTATATTTTGTTGCTTTAGGTAGAATAATGACATGGTTCTGCTTTTGGTTTGTTTTAAGAAATCCTTATCATTTATATAGGCATGCTAAAATATTTACAGCATCAAATGATGTCTGGGATGTTCTTCAAAATAATCTGAGTGGAAGGGAAATAGGAAGTTTGTAGGTGAAACTTGCAAACTGTTTCGAGTGAATGAGTCTTTCTAATTTTGCATGTTTATAGTTGTCCATACAAAGTCATAGAATGCCTCTGGTTGTGAAGCTAGGCCTCAAAAATGAGGTAGATAGATGAAAATTTCAAAATGCAGGGTTATTTAAGAAAGAACAAGTATTAAAGGGAAAAAATTACTGATTTATATAAGTTGCAAAAATTATTTATTTTACGTATTATATTAAAGACATCAGAATTAATTGAAAAATATAATACTTGCTAAGTAAAGAGGAGAAAACAACTCCACCCAAGAAACAACCTCATTTATTCATTTAAAGATGAAAGTAATGCGTCTGCAAGGCAAACCATGAGCTCATGGAAAGCTGTGATTTCTAAACAGATGTTATTAGGCTAATAGTTTCATATTGTTAATGACTACCCAATTAGCACCTTCACTTCACTTATTTTCAAACACAGAAGAAGTCTACAAGTGATCTGTAGAGTCCTGTAGTGATACCCAGTAAAAATTTTGCACCATCTTGCTGGTTTCTTACAAGAAAGAGTAGGAGAGAAGCTGGAACATGTCCTCTTCCAACCCCTGCTTCTGGATGTGTCAAGAAAGAGGACTTAACTATCTCAGAACAAAAGATATCCTAGAATGGCATGGACAGAAAAGTTCTGCGTGCAATGCCATGTTTAAATTCTCCTTTCTCCAAATGTAAAAATAGGTCTGCATCCATCGTCTGAAATACTAGTGGACTAAAAATCCTTTTATTAATGAAGAACTGCAGGTATTCTAGCTGACGTGGGAGTAGTACGGTCTGTTCATTGAAGGATGTTGTATCTCAGAAACATTTAAGACGCCCTGAGGATGGAAATAGAAAGAAAATAATGCCCCCCCCCCCGCCCCCGTCTAAAGTGCTCCTTTCTTAATACAATTTCCGACGACAAATCTTAATGCCGGAAGTTATTTGGCCATCCTTAAAGGTGCAACTTATCCTGATGTCTCAACAGACGGAATAGTTGCCGCCGAAGTCCGAGAAATGAGTCACTGCTCACATTGGATGAGTAATTTCAGGTGTCCTGAAACCCTGTTCCGAAGAAGGAGGGAGGAGGGGGCGTCAGACCTGCAGAAGGAAGAAGACTGGCCGCTGGGGATTGGATGGCGAGATCTCGATTTTCCTAAAACTGCGTCATTTCGAACCCAATTGGGTCCAGATATTATGGGCACCGACGGGTTATCATCTCGGAAACTCTCAATCAGAAGCAAGCAAAAGGAGAGGAGGCGGCTAATTAAATATTGAGCAGAAAGTCGCGTGGGGGGCGTGTCACGTGGGTCTCGAGGCTCGTGGAGCCTCGGATAAATAGCGCGAGGCACCGAGCAGGCTACGACCTCCTCCTGCACCGTCGCGGCAACCGAGAGAGTCGGAGCGCTCAGACCGGCCGGAGGAACCCAGCGGACCCGCCGCAGTAAGTGCCTGCGCCCCCCGGGCGGGCTTTCTGCGCCCCGCATAGCGCCGAGGTGGCGGCCGGCAGCGGTGGGTGAGCCGGCTGGCTGGGCCCACTGGGGCGAGGGACAGCAGGGGGACAGTGGGGAGACGAGTAACCCAATTGCCAATGTCCCTCTTGGTCTTCCACCTGCAGAACCTCCAGGCATGGAGGTGTAGATTGGTTGGTGGTTGAGGGCTGGTGGAGTTGGGATCCAGGGAGAAGGGAATTTGAGAAGCTCTGGGGCATGATTCCCTTTCCTAAAGGGTACAGGTGGGACTTTAGCCCTGGGGCATTTTATCTTGGTTCAATCAGCCCTTTGTTAGGCTGTGGGACCGACTATGTTGCTGCCCCAACTCTTGGATAGCCACCCCCAATATATGTAATTTTTCCCTCCACGATCTCTTCTCCCCACGCTTCCCAGAAATCCAGCATGAGAATCCTCGTGGCCTTGGCAGTCTTTTTTCTCGTCTTCACTCAACTGTTTGCAGAAGAAATCGAAGGCAACGATGATCTGAATTACTGGTCCGACTGGTCCGACAGCGACCACATCAAGGTGAGCCCCGGTCCGAAGCTGGTCCTCGGGGTTCTTCCCGAGCTCCGCAGCTGTCCACCCCCACCCTGAGATAGCGCCCTAGTTCGCCTGGCGGGCACCAGTGGCGGTGGAGGCGTGCACGGGGGTGTAGAGTAGGCCAACCTCTCAGTCCCGCGCAAGATTTTGTGCCCACCATCCAACTTTCCTCCGGAGGGCTGCACGGCCGGGTCTCGGGAACTCAGTGGAGCAATAACGCCCTCCCCGATGAGCCCGGGGTCCTAACACGGCTGGAAACCTAAGAAGGTTTCACCCCCAGGTGACAGAGATTTCGGGGACTCCAGTCCAGCTGCGAGGACCTGGCGTTTGGAAACGTTGGGCAGGGTCAGATGAGGGCACTCCAGGGGCCAGGGGCGAGCTTCTGGGGCGTAGAGAGACGGGGGTGGGTCAGAAGCTAATTCCCTGCGGTGATCTTTATTTTACGGACCTGAGAACAGAGCCGTAAGTTTTCCTTTACGTGGCTCGCAGGCTATTGAAGCAAGGGAGCGCGCCTCGCGGAACAGTAAAAGTCTTGCCCTGCAGGTAGCTTGTGAAGCGCAGTCACCCTTCCCCACCCTCGACACACACCTGTGTACATTTAGGGTGGTGAAGCGTCTCCACAGCCGCCGCCAGAGTCGAGACTAAGGTGGCTAAAAGGCAGATGAGTGAGGGTTCTCCGCTGGGAGCAAAGAGGGGAAAGCACCGCAGGGCTAGGAGACTCTTCGCCTCCTGCCAACACGCAGGGGCTTTGGGGGAGGCGGCGGCGCTGGACACGAGTTCCGCGCCAGGGGTGGGGGCAGAGAGCTTCCCTCACCCCGCCCCCCCGCCACCTTGGACCCCACTCAGCCCTGTCGTGGGGAAGCCCGGCCTCCTCTGACCTCCCTGTGGAGCTGGCTTTCCAGCCCTGCGCCGCGGGGTCCCACCGCAGGCAGCCGAGGTTCGCACAGAGCTGGAGCGCACCATGGGAATGACTTGGGTTTCTGGGAGCCTCGCGCTGATTGCTGCACCCGGGTTTGTCCATACGTCTGTCCCCCAGGAGGAGCTGCCCGAGCCCTTTGAGCATCTTCTGCAGAGAATCGCCCGGAGACCCAAGCCTCAGCAGTTCTTCGGATTAATGGGCAAACGGGATGCTGGTGAGATGGGCAGCCATCCCTTTATCTGTCTCTGCGGGGTACCCGCCGGACCTGCTCGCTTATTCTCAGAGCACCCAGAGTTTCTCTTCCTCTTTGAGCAGAGATTTACAGCCTAAACGGCGCGGTAAATCTCCCGGCGTGGCTCTAGCCCATACCTCACTAATACACGCAGGTGCCTGGGGAGGGAGGGAGGGAAGGAGGGAGGCATCAGTTAGACCCAAACCACTAAGAACAGAAACCAACCTTAGCTCCCTAGACTAAAGATCCAAACTGACAAAGCAGGAGAAGGCACGGAGCCTCCAGGGAGTAGTACTGGGGTTGTTCTAAGTGCATGTGGAAGCTGATTATAAACCACTGGGGTTAGAAGAGACTTAGCTGCCCCTTGTCTCCTGATAAAATATTCTGTTTCTTTGAATTCATCGTACCATCAGTGGAACCTGTAAACAGTTAATATCAATTGTTTCTTGTCAGAATCCTCAATGAAAAAACAAGTGGCACGGTTAAAGGCTTTTTATGGTAAACATTTCTATAAATCTTTATTTTACTATTGTGAATGCACATGTAGGAAAGTGAAAAGAGTCTTTTATGGGCTGAAATACAGATTCTTGATTATGCCTGTTTCATAGACATGGATTTGCATCTCTCTTTCTCTTTTGAGTATCAAATGGGTGGCCCTCCTTGAATATGTGCCAGGTGGTATTGCCTAACAGTTATTAACAGGCCTCAAGGGTCTCATAGTTCTGGATTTGAATCTGTGGCCCATAAAAAGCACTTCAAAATATTTTTTGTATGTTAAAATAATAATTTGATTAGAATTTATGGTTCTGCTATATTTCTCGGGCTAGTATATGAATGGGAAATGTCACAGATTTTAAAAATCAATTTGTTTTATATTTGTCCTTAAAAGATACAATGTGGCATCTTTAAAACAAATTTATTGTATTTGCTCTTCTTATCTTTCTTCTAGAACTTCTAAAAAATGGCCAGATCTCTCATAAAAGTAAGTTCAAAATTATTTTGACATTTATCAAATACAAATGTTAAAAAATTTCATTACACTTTATAGAATAACTAATCTTATTTTCTGTTATAACTTTGGTCTTCATATGTTTAATTAAGGCAATATAAGAATGGAGGAGACTCATATTATATTTACATCCAGAACACGATTGTTTAATGTTGTGTAGCTGAGACATATCGTGCTTTCCAAAATGATACATTATATTAAAAATCCTTTAACTCCCAGCTAAACTGCTGCTGAATTTCTGACCCACAGAAACTGAGATAATAACTATTTGTTGTTGTTTTAAGCTGCTAAAAAAATAAAAATAAAAACCTTGAACTGTTTAGTTTAGCTAAGAATTGTTAGTTTAGCTAAGAATTGCAATCCTAGGGGTAAAAAACCACCATACATCATAACCTGAACTGAATAACCACTAATTCCACTGCAAAAAAACAAAAACAAAAACTCACACATATTTATAAGTAACTTCTAACTCATTTGAGTGTGCTGGATGCCATAATGATATCACTTATTTGGGTAAGTCAGCAGCTACGAGGCTCCAGTGAATGTCTGGGCAGACAATTCTTACTACAGGTAAAGGCAGAAATGCTGCTGCTTCATTCTATAACTGAATGGGAAACCTCCGTCTATCAAAGCACAGTGAAAATTTCTTAGGGCAGTGAAGAGGGCAAAATTGTGACACTTGGCAGTCATTCGATCCCAGTTTCCCAGTTAATGGAACCGGAGTTGACAGGCAGCCCCAGGGATCTACCTAATTGTGCTTAGTTACCCTGACCTGGATTTTGGTTCACTGGGTGGCAGAGTAGGCCACATTAAGAGAGAAGCCCTATTATCAACTAATAAACCAAGAGACATTCTCTCGTTAGAGTTAAAGTAATCTTTTCCAGAGGCTCCATCTTGGAAACTAAATTAATCAGTCATATTTACTTTCTAAGGAGTTGACTTTCAAGGGAATTATATACAGCAGAATTCTGTGTAATGAAAATAAATATACTCTGTTAATGTCAAAACTGACATACTTTCCAAAAAGGAGTATTATGTAAAATCCAATAAAATAGAAATATTGACATTTTCAAAGTTTATAATTATCAGGTGTAGGGATCTGGCTTTAAGGTTCAGTTCCTTAAATATAACGTATTCAGTAACAAGAGGGAATAGGCATGGAAATTTCCCTGTCACACAAATGTGAAATTGTGTGACTTCCTAAAACTCAAAGCCAGCTTCAATAGCAACAATCTGGGAAACTTTATCTATGTAAATAGATTAAGATATATGAATAAAGGGTACTTGCTAATATTTAGATATGGAATTAAGAGAAGTGCTGTCATTGTATTGTTTCAGTGTCATTTATAAGACTTATTAGGAATCCTCATCTCTTCTGACTCACCAAAATTTGCAATAGATATATATTTATTATATGGGCATATATTTAGAAGCTTGCTTTTTTCATTGGTACTAGTTATTGCAGTTTATTTCCTCAAAGATATACATATTAAAATACCCTAAATGTATTTTTCCAGGGCATAAAACAGATTCCTTTATTGGACTAATGGGCAAAAGAGCTTTAAATTCTGGTATGTATAAATCATGACTGAAAATAGACAGTTATCTTAAATCAACTTGTATTATTTTTCTTCTAAGGCATAGTTTTTAAAGTATTAAAAAGGAATGATGAACTTAAAATACGTATTCATGGTGAAAAAAATCTAATTGCAAACTCTAAAACATCCAAGAATGGATTTATAGCCAAACTAATAGCACCACAATATTAATCTCTCTCAAACCACCCCCCTTGCCAGCGTCTGCCCCATTTAATTACTACCTAACCTGAATCTTTGGGCTAGTCTAACACTCTTTGCCTTGTATGTGCCAGATAAACCACATTTAAACCTTAAAGGTGTGGGGGATGCAGGAAATAAGACTGATTTTCACTTGTTACCAAGGTAATTTGAAAGTCTTACCAGAGATTACATCTGGCAGTTTTCCAACACAAAAGTAAAGAAATAAAACAAAATAAATTTATTTATACAAATTGCTCCTCATGAAGATATAGAAATTCAAACTCTAATAAAACATCCTGATGGATATTTGAGAGTAATATAGTTCATTCCAGTTCCTTCAAAAAGGAGCATAATCAAATCACCCTAGAGATGTATACAGTCAGTCCTGGCTACAAAACCCTGAGAGAAAAGGGATGCCACAATTCTCCTCAAAACCCATTTTAATTCTGAACAACTCCTGCATTTGCTATAAAGGCTGTATGTCCCCTTTCTTCCCTTTTGTTCCTATTTTCTATGTAAATGCCATATATATATATATCTGAAAACTCACTCATTATAGTATTTTCAAGGTAAATACCCCTATATCATTTTTATAGAGACTGATTTATTGTTATACACATTCAGGACTTACAGTCCCTAATTTAGATTCCTTGGGAAAACTATTCAAATTCTCTTTATTTTACATGGAGTAAAAATGGAATTAAAATACTAATCACATAATTAATTAGAAAGTAATTAGCAACTGTTTGTCTTATCCATCTAGAATATGTCAAATTTCTAGAAAATCTGTAACTAAGATGTGCTGGTTTAATTCTTGGTTATTGCAAAGTCATGCAGAAATGATGTCTGCTGGTATTTATATTGGTTCGCTACCTTCCAGATTTTGACTACTGTGTTTGTATTTCTTCATCAGTAATTTGGGTGCTGCTCAAGTTTAAATTTGAAACACATTACTAGTCACCTAATAAAACATTTAAAATTATTTTATTAATATGCATTATCTCCTGGCTTTTGGAAATGGAATGTAAATTTAAAGTACACAGGCTTTATCAGAAGTGTGCACTGCCCTTACATAGCTGTGGTTTTCTTGATAATCATTTTAGTCTTCAGCTGTCCATTTCCAGAATTGATAACAAGTTTCAGAACAAGCTTAACTTTACAAATAATACAGACACTGTGCAATTGAGAACAGACTAAAGGCTATTAAATGTACCCAAAGTAACGGTGTATTATAAATAATAAACAGAATCACTGTAATGAGTCAGAATTAATTTAAGACTGAATCTTTGTTCCTCCATTTTCGTTAAGAACTATAAAAGGGAAAAAGTGGGCAAAAATGCAATCCACATGCAGTCAGATCTTTTCATATGCTCAGTGGAGGCAAAGTTATCATCGGCTCCTACAGCCATCTGATCCTTACCCTTTTGTGGTCACAAACCTCTTAGACAATGTAGAAAAATCTGGAAATCCTCTTCCCAGAGAAACCCTCCTCACCTCCTGCACATATAAGTTTACGTAGGGTTTCGGGGGGTTCAAGGACCCAGTAAGAAACTGCTTCGAGTTCAGAGGACACTGTGTTCCAGCTGCATCGCTGATCTTTGGTCAGGCCACATTCGCATTCACCTCACTTTTCTGCAGAACGGAAGCATGTTACCTAAAGCTGGTCAGAAAGTGGACCTGTGGAAGGAACAGAGCAAGTGAGAAATAAACTGTTTCCTTCCTTTAGAACTGCCCAGTTGGGGGGGGGGGGGGCTCAGACTGTCCTACCCCAGAAATGCATACGTGATTGACATAAAATAAAACAATCAGCACATTGTTAACCTCACTTACCAATAGCTGGATGCTAAGGCTCTCTGCCCAGCGTTGAAGTGGTAACACCTACCTTCTCTCTCCACAAATGCTTCTCACTGGGAACAGCATGTGCGGGAGCACCCGTGGTTTCTGCGTGTCTTCCACAGTTTTTTCTGCTATTTCTATTGAAATGTAATATTTTGAACAGGGCATACTAAATTATTAAAAGCATAGTAGTTCACTGTGATATAAATCTAAGGGTATAAAGTGTTAGTTAAAAATATGATGAAAAGTATACTTATTTTGATCACATCAATCTGATCTTTACCCTTTTGTTGTTACCCCTTTGAAATTGTATATAACATAAGATAAATGGCATAACATTAACATAACATAATATAATATTGAATGTTGGCCTTTTTTTTAGTCCAGATAGTCAATGTACTTAAATTACTTGCTAGGTTTATGTTAAGTACTTGTAGAAGCTGTGATTAACTTTTCACAGGACATTAGGGTGCTAGGGGGTAAGGTAAACTGCTGTATTTAGATGGCACAGTTGCCCTCCCTACAGACTCTGAAGCTGTTGTTAGTCTCAAGGACAATGGGAGGCGTCCACAAAACAGGAAGAGCCCTCACACCATAAGTTACCCCTGTCACAGGAATCAGCAAACTTTCTCTATAGAGAGCCACACAGTAAATATTTTAAGCTTTGTGAACCATGCAATCTCTGTAACAACTCCTCAAATCTGCCATTCTAATGCTGAAGTAGCCGCAGACAATGTATAAATGAATGGGTGGGGCCATGTTCCAGTAAAACGTTAGGAGAAAAGGCGGTGGGCGGGATTTGCCCCCGGCCTATAGTTTGTTGCCGCTGTCCTAGAATAAAAGTTCCACATTTTGCTTTCACCTTATGACGATTCCTGGTTAATTTAGGCACTGTCCTGTCTATAAATCACCAGGGGTGTCTGCTGCTGCTTGAGGATGCCGCTGAGAGTCAACATCGCAATGCATTGTGGAAATATGCTTTTGGGGTACCCAGTATAAGACGGATGACCAAAGTTAGCAAGAATTCTGTGGCTAGGTCACTTCCCGTCTGGATAGAGACTGGGGCAAGATTGGAAAACGTGCAAATAAAACTCTTGGAAATATTTCAACGGAGGGAAATAGTTGTTAGGAGTTTGGAAAAAGTCGTTAAGTATGCCTTGAACTTTCATTCCCTCAGTGAATCCTCTTAAAGAACCCGTTCTCTTCCCTGTGTTCCCAGCGGCTTACGAGAGGAGCGCAGTGCAGAGCTACGAGAGAAGACGCAAGTAAACGACCCGCTGTGTTCTTTACTGAGCTTCACTTGTGTCAATGGCCAATAAAAGGTAAAGAGAGAGAGAGAGAAATGCACTATAAGGAAAAATTATTTATTTAATAACACTCATTGTTTCAAGTGGAAAACTCAAAAAGTGTTTATTTTTCATATTGTGCCAATGTGTTATAACAGTGTGTTGTGGTTTTAATGCGATGACGCCCTCAGAAATAGAAATCAGCAAAGCACAGTGTGCAGTGCCACTTGACAAACCTGTCAACATAGTCTCCGAAGAAAGAAACCGCTTTTGTTTCTTGGAAGTAGTCACATCAGCTCCTGCTGACGGAAAGAAACTCACAGACAGGCCTCTGCTTCTCCATTTGTTTTTATGGTGAAAATGTACTGAGATTTGGTATCAAACTATATTTGTATCTCTGCAGCATGTTTTATGTTTTGTGACTATATAGAGATGTTTTAAAGACTTTTAATGTGATTCTAAGGTCTTCATTTCATTGTATAATGTGTTGTGACAGTTTACATTTTAAATAAAAGAAAAAATATCTTGAGAACTGAGTTTTATTCTTTCATTAATGTTTAGGTCAAATCAGCAACCTTTCTTTTGGCAGAGGAAATATGGTCAAAGCTGTTTGGTTGACAAATAGTGAAACAAAATTACTGAATGTCTCTCTTAAAGAAAATGACTCATAATTTCACTTTCTCTCTCCCACACACACACACACACATATCATTTTTTTTAATGGCTCAGTCATTTGGCATGAGATCATTCATAGAGAAAACAATTACATTTTGGAGTCCAAAGAGTAAAAGCTAAGTTCTGTTTATACATACCTATGATTCCCTTTTACAAATAGGATAATAATCTACTTTAAAAATGCATTTCCTGATTATTTCCTCATTGGGTAAAACAACAGCACACACCCATTTCAACCCTGCCTGGATCCCAGGTATAACTACTCCAGTGTGTGAGTCTCACTAGAATTAAGACACCAAATGAAACTCTCAAAAGGGTCATCAGAAGATGATACAGAAAGATTGGAGGCGGGGGGTAGCTGATGATGTGACATCATCCCCATTACAAAGGTAAGAACCCAGAAACATGTGCATCAGGAATAAATACAGAGCAATCAGAGGGGGGCTCGTGTGTATTTATTTAAAGGGAAGGACTAATAAATGTCTTGAACCATTTTCTGACCACACAGAAAATGTAAAATATTGACAAGTGGCAAAAACAACTCAGGACTCGCATGGTTCAGTAAAATAAAACTCCATGAGTTTAGCAATGTTAAAACCATTTTTGGCACAGGGGAGCTAAAGCATATTTTTCTTTCCATCTTTAAATGAATAACCTGGGTTTTTGTTTGTTATAATTTTTTTTCTTTATTGATTTTAGAGAAAGGGGAAGGGAGAAGGAGAGAGATATAGAAATATCAATGAGAGAGAACATCAGTTGGCCGCCTCCTGCATGCCCCCGACTGGGGACTGGGCCCACAACCTGGGCATGTGCCCTGACCAGGAACTGAACCCGTGACCTCTTGGTGCATGGGTCAATGCTCAACCACTGAGCCACACCATAACTCATTATTTTTTAAAAATTCCGACAAGCTCATTTTTATTACACAATACATTTAAATATTAGAAATTATATTATGATAAACAAAATGGAGAAAATCAGAGTCATCTAGAGCCCCATTCCCCAACAGGATTGTTAAATGTTCTATTTAACAATAACAATAATTGTAATACATCATAATCATAATAGCTATCATTATATAGTCATGCACCACATAATGTGTTGGTCAACAGTGGACTGCATAAACCATGGTAGTCCCATAAAATTATGATGGAGCTAAAATATTCCTGTCACCTAGTGATGCTGCAGCTGTCATGACATCAGACTGCACTGTCTTACATGTGTCCGTGGTGACGCTGGTACACAAGCCTGCGCAGCCAGTCGTATGCGTAGAGCACATACAATTACACACAGTACATGATCTTGATAATGACAAGAAACAACTATGTTGTGAGTTTATGTACTATGCATTTTACCCCTATTTGAGTGTATTCTTTCTATTTATTAAAAAGTTGACCGTAAAACAGTATGCCATGTTACCCCAGCAGCAGCCTCATACATCTTGTGTTTACAGTGTCTACTGATTGCATCATTTTTTCTTATGTTTGACTTAATCTCACGGAGCTTTGCACAGTAACATGCTGTGCAGGCTTGTACTGCAGGAGCAGTAGGCTCTACTACATAGCCTAGGTGTACCATCAAGGTTTGTGTAAGTGTATTCTATGACACTGGAACAACAAAGTCTCCTAATAATACGATTCTCAGGACATATCCCCATCACTAAGAGGTATATGACTGTACATATTTAATTAATGAAGGAAGTATTATCATGATCATTATCATCATTTTACAGATGAGAAAATGAAGCTCAAGGAAATCTTGGGGTCAGAGATTATAATATGGTAGGAGCCGAGATTAGAAAAAAATTAGGGGATATAGCAAAGCAAATTAATACCTAACAATGAGATTGATTAAGCAAAGCTGGTGTATTGATACAACTGAATATTATGCCATCATTTAAAATGACATGGTGTATTTAGTGACATGAAACAACTTATGTGGTGTGTTGTTAGGCATGAAGCAATATTTCTGCATTCTATATGTATATATATTCCTGCATCGATATTATAACGAGGAGGAACAATGTGATGGATAGCGTGTGGGGTTCAGGGTCGAACTGCTCAGGTCTGAATGCCGGCTCCATCGCCTAATGGCGTGATGATGGGTAAGTCGCTAACTTTTTCCTGCTTTATTGTCCTCATCACTAAAATTGGACAATGATAGTACTGCATCCACTACTATTGCACACCACTATACGCAGCGGCTATTATCCACGGTGGAGCCCAGCTGAGGGCTGTGGGCCATGATACCTGGAGAGCTTTGAACACAGCCTCTGGCACACAGCGAGTGTTCAGTGAATGGAACCTGTTGCCATTGTTAGCTACTCTCCAAAATGCCAGGGAGGAAATCAGGACTCTATTTTCTCCACTAAAATGTTATTTTATAAGCACAATGAAGCAGCAGCAGTGTGGTGTGGTTTTTAAATCTTTGCCACACACATTAAATCCAGTGCTTTATTACAAATCGGGCAGCACTTTGTATCGTTCATTCGTGCAGTGGACAGTCCCCACCAGCCCTTCCCCCTCTGCAGCTCCATAAAGCTCTGCAGCAGGGTCCCACCGTGATGCCTGTGGACCTGCGTGGGGGAGACCTCACTCACGCCTGCGTTCCCTCCGGCGCACCCCAGCAACAGCTCGAGTATTTCAAGGGGGAGAAACTCCAGCCTTGCGTTTGTACTCATGAAATGTTGACTATTACTTTCCCCCTGGGGCATGTTTCCTTTAACTAAAATACGTTTTCTTCACCTATGTTCTCTCTTCAATGTTTTATTTTGTTTTGAAACAGCAAACAGACCAACCTATATAATTTAGTTACCGAATACTTTATTCCTTTGGAGTTTTTGTCTGTTTTTGGTTTTAGTTTTTGGTCAGGGTCCAGGGCAAAAACAAATAACACCCAAAGTGACTCATTGGAGGAGACTTTAATGAAAGGACCAATTTCAAAGATGCGGTCAGGGGCGAGAGAAGACGGCAATAGAAGTGGTTCTCTGAGCTTGCACCCTCGGGAGACACTGCAACCCCGACCTGAAGGGTCAGCGAGGCGTAAGGTATAAAAATGTCTAATCACTTGAAATGAATATGATCACCTGAGGTTGATATAATATTGTATGACAACTGTAATTAAAAAATAATTTTAAAAAAAGTGAAGTGAGGGTCTCTGTGCAAAGAGCCACCTGGAGCTGTTGTCTTCAGTAGGTGGCAAAACCAACACAGTGGTTAGAGCATCGTTCTGCAGACCAGAGTCACAGGCTCAATTCCCAGTCAAGGGCATGTACCTTGGTTTCAGGTTCGATCCCCAACCCTGGTCAAGGTCGTGTAGGAGGCAACTAATCGATGTCTCTCTCATATCCATGTCTCTCCCCCCACCCCTTTCCATTGAAAGACTCAATGCAAAAATATCCTCAGGTGAGGATTTTTAAAAAAAATTAGGGGACTACAAGACTAGAGGTAAAGCCCTGCTGGTGTGGCTCAGTGGTTGAGCATTGACTCATGCACCAAGAGGTCGCCAGTTTGATTCCTGGTCAGGGCATATGCCCAGGTTGTGGGGCAGATTCCCAGTAGGGGGCATGCCGAAGGCGGCCAATCAATGTTCTCGTTCATTGATGTTTCTATGTCTCTCTCTCTCTCTCTTCAGAATCTCTCTCTAAAAATCAAGAAAGAAAAAGAAATTAAAAAAAAAATAACTAAGTCTTAAAAATAAAAACAAGACTAGAGCCAAGGTTTCCGCAGCTGTTAGTCAATTTGGATTTAGTAGGATTAGTGAGGAGGAACAAGTGGGACCCAATCTTGCCTTTGGTGGAATAAATTCAGCCATTAGGGTTCTTTTGCAAATTAAGGTTATTTTCAAACATGTAAGACCTCAACAAGTTTATGATACATCTTCTTTGAAAGAATTACTAGAGGATGTATTTCAGCAAGAATAAAAATAAATCGGAGGAAGTAATGAGCAAGAAACATGGTAACAAAGTTTTAAAATATATAAACTGAAATCAGTTGTGTACGTGTATATGTGTGTTAAATAAATAATTTGGAAATAAAATTCCATAAGATGGTAATATGAGAGTTAGTTGGAAAGGAAGAAGTGTGTAAAAGGAAATAAATGCATGCTAAATTTTTTTGTCTTGTTGAGAGGAAGGGTAGAATGTAAATGTACCTGACCCTAGACTTTTTTAAAGAAAGTATGTTTCTATGTATGAGCTAAAATATGCACAAGCTGAACACTAAAGAAACAGATAAATGTATAATTATCAAAGCAGAAGGGGGAAAATCTTGAAAAACACAATCTAACAGAAGACCTTTAAAAATTGTTGAAAAAATAAAACTATGGTAAGAATAAATTAAAAGCTAT